TGTGAAAGCTAAGGCTAACAGTGGTAATTGTAGAAACAGGTAAACTCGCTCTCTTTTTTTGTACATTTATGGCTATAATAGGATGTTTAGCAATGACAAGGCTCTACCTGGTTCACAAATACAAATATTAATTATCCATTCAGTGGAGCCTCAGTAGAAGAGTGTTTCCATGTACTGTGGAAGAGCAGCATAGATGCTGTGCAAGAGCAGAAAACAAAGCTGATTCCAGAATTAAAGAAGTTTAATATAAAAAAATAAACTAAGATTCTAAAGCCCAGAATAAGGACAGGTCTGGCAGAAAAGATTTGCTCCCAATTTTATACCTATAAGCTTATCCCTGGTGTACTAGAAAAAATGGACACCCGATACGAAACACTGCATTACACATTTATACTCGTGGCAAGTAGTTATTCATGGCAGTTCCATTATTAGGAGTAGTGAAAAAAATTCTGACGTCCTCTCAGGTTCTCTGTAGTTGAGATTTGCTTGAACTGAAACACAAAGACATAGAAGAACTATAAAAATAGCCCCATCTGTTCACTGCTTCCCGTGACAGATCTTTATAGTGTTTATTCTGTGTGGTCTTTGGATAAGAGCACAAGCCAGGACTTCGGTCTCGTCCTCCAGTGTTCTGAGACCAGCGCTCTCCCAGTCCCCGGGGTTCAAACGCTCACCATGCTCCTCACTTTGCCCCATGCGTGTTCAGCCAGCCCCTCTCCCTGTTTTCCTTGCTCGTTGTGCTTAGAGAATACCGAGAGCTGCCAGGACTCTTCCAAAGAAAGCTGCTCTTGATGCATCCAGCTTGATTTATTGATTTTTTTTTTTTAATTTCATATGTGTTGTGTTTCCATGGTGCTGACTTTTTACTTTTAAAACTTTGTCATGTGTGTTCACTGCGAATGAACAGTAATGGTGTGGGAGTCGGTTCCAGACTTGCACCGTTACTTTAAGTTTAATAAAAAGGAGCTCATGATTTTGTTGTCTGTAATAGACTACTCAGTTTTCCACCCCTCCCTTTTTCTCTCTTCTTTTTGGTTTTCTTGTCATTGGCCCAGGGTGTGTGAAGGCTGGCAGTTCCTGCATCTCAAAGGCACGCGGTTCTGATGTGTTGGCACTTATGCTTTAAAAGTATTAGAATATTAAAACTGTTCAAAGATTATATTATAATATAAGATTATTTCCAGGTTCTAGAGTAATTGGAAATGCCAAAATTGATAAGCAGGAAAAATTCAAATGAGAGTCCCACCTTCCTCCATCTGCGGCAAGATGATGGCATCAGATTTTGGGTTTGCCCAAATATGTAAGAAGAAACAGCCCAAATCACAGCAGACTTAATTGTCCTGTTTTAATTGTGCCCGTCCTGTTTTAGTTTACATAGCAGTGGTTGTGATTAAGCCATGCCTCAAAAGGATTTGTTTGGGTTTTTTCTGCCTTTGTTCTTTGTGTCTTCTTATAACTTCCGTCAGCTCTTCCAATCAGAGCAATTGTCAGAGTCAAAGCTGCAGAAACAAAACAAGAAAAGCAAAGCCCTTGCACTTTAAGAAGTTACATCGCTGCACCGTGCGAGCCCTGGATGTCCTCTTCTTGCTAGGCTAGTTGAGTTCTGTGCCACACTCCTCTGTGGACTTTGATGGATGGCAAATTTCTGTACAACTGTGTCGGTTTGCATGGTGCTATAGTCTTGACCAGAATGGTTGTCTCTACTCTGAAGTCCCTGAATTATCTCCTCTTGCTCAGAAAAAGTTAGGCTGTGCAAGGGATGAATTTATGTAGTTAGTTCCACTGCTTACATTTTAAAGGGTGTTTCATGATTGACTTTATGTCCACGGCCTAAAAGGAAGTTCATATTAGCCAAAGTTTTGCTTCGTTGTGTTCCAGCAATTGCTTTTGGCCTAAACAAAGGCAACTCTGTAATAAATGAAGCAGAAGTGTTATGCTCATATGTGCAAATTTTGCATTAGTTCTCAACGAGCTAACACGTCTACATCTCGCAGTGCGGCACGGTGAAAGAACAAGACGTCGTGCAAGCAGCACAGCCACGCTCCGTCCCGGCTGGCGGCTCCCGGCGTGCCCCTACCCTGCGTGGGGAGGGTCCCGGCGCGGGGCTGAGTTCGGGCTCCAGTGCGGACCCTCAGCACTACAGGTCGTGGCAGCTCATGGTTTTCTGCTGTGGCAAATTCTGAAGGGATTCTTGGGCTCTGCAGATTTCTATTTATTGTCATTTCATGCAGTCTATTAACTTCTGAACGAAACCTTCCGAAGTTAGTAGTTTAATGTTTCCAAAGATATTTTTACTGGTGGTAAATGCTGCCCACACATAGGAAGACACATTTCTGCCCTAGACAGTTCTCAGTATAAACTTAAAAGCATGTAAAGAACATGTAATATAAAAGGCAACACTTTAATTACTAGAACTCACAAGAATGCAGCAAAGCTAGAGGAGTAGGCAACGTTCATAGGGTAGGATTAGCCTCATTTGTCTGGAGATCAGAATCAAATGTTGTTTAAAGTCATGGATGAAGAAGAAATGGATGATGTTCTTGTGATCTCACCAGGAAAGCATGGCGGTCACACCCCAGGTCGAATTCTCTCTCTTGTATTTGTGGAGACCAACTCCTCTCTCTTTTTTTTTACCCCATCTAAAAATTACCGAAGGTAGTAATTCACACATTGGGCTTTCTGATCTCTGGCACGCACTGTGGAGGTGCAAAGCATTGCTATAGCAGCATACTTTGTCAGCATTAAAATCCCTGACATATCATTCTCCCAAGGAAGCTGGCAGTGAAAACTGCAAATGGCACAGTGTGATCTCCTTCTGGTAGCAATGAATGTAAAAACAATGGGAAACAGAAGGAAAGTAATGTCTTAGTGCAACCCTAAGTTCTAATTTCCAAATCCTGCACGAATCATCTAACAGTTGTCAAGATGTGAAATACAAGGTAGTGAAAGAAAGCGGTGATCATTTGCTGCCGAAAGTTTTGGGTTTTTTCCTTATCAATTCCCTGTCCAGAGTTCAAAGCTGTTACTGGATTTGGTGAAGTGGCTTGATAATATGAGGACATATTTGTGGCCAGGCCGACAGTGAGAAAGGAACTCCAGTCTCTTACTTCTGGGCAAAAACTGCTCACCTGTGGCGTTTGGGGAAATATTGCGCGATTGGCCAGTTGCATATTTTTGATCTTTTCCTTCACAGCAAATATTGGCTAAACACCATAGCAGGCAACCAGTGGCCTGGTCTAGCCAGATGAACAATAGTATGAAGAGTTGAGATCATGAGTATGAAGTTGATACCATGTTGATGTCACGAGTATGAGGCTGCTATCACGTTGATATCATGAGTATGGGGCTGGCTGAGATCTGAGTACTGAGGGAAATACCTTAGCAAAGTTCTAGATGATACAAGTCCTCAAATATGCAGTTTCAGAGTCGTGTTTCTCTGTACTATAAAAATTCTCTGAAGGTATTTCTCACAGACGAAACACTTTTGACAAGGCCTTTGTTGTCTTATGCCTTGGCTTTGTGTAAGCTGGCAAAGCGTATAACCTGATGGCCTGTGTTCTATTCGTCATGCTATTTCAATCATGCAAATAGCTCCCAGAGAAATATTTAGCTCACATGAATGGGTGTTACATACCTCGTTTGTAAGTAAAGTGGCACTTAATAAATGTGAAACACCTTTGGTTATCTAGATGTTTCAAATTCCTGATGCACTCACAAACAGGAAAGTCGCTTCCACAACAAGAGCTGCACAGACTGCCCCAGGAAATTTTGCAACCTGAGAAAGACAGAATGTGACCCATGAATGTCCTAGGTGGGGAAGGGGTGTTTAAGTAGCAGGAACAAATGACAGGCTAGATGTAAGCTAGGCAGTGATTATCTTCCTGCAAGACACAGAAAAGGTATTAATTTATAAAAGGGAGCTGCTAAGGGCTGCATGACCCATATCCATTCCGTCAGGTTGACTGGAGAAGCTGCTGAGACTCATGCCTGGAGTGCAGGAGTGCTCTGTGGGTGCGTCTGGGATGCCAGCAGAGTACCCAACGGAAACACACCCGTTCTTCGCACATCTCTTTCCTTGTGCGTGTCAAAGTCTGTGCTTGATCCAGTGGATATCTTACCCCCTTTCCTGGGGATGAGGAAGAGAAGCGATGTGGCAGAACCTCAGGTTGTGCCGGGGTTTGCCAAGTTGTTTGTATCTGGCTAATTTATTTCTTTGGTATGACAGTGTGTAAAAGGAACACTTCTTTAGGCTTCACCCCAAAATCTTGGCTTCTCTGTAAAATGCTACCCCACTTTCTCCAGCTGATGTGCTTGACCCAGTAAGATTATTCTCATATGCCATAAATGCTGGACACCACAGTAGTAGTATACTTTTATTGCCTTATTTAGCCAAGAGATTAAATGTAATGTTCAGATTATGTAGAACATTAACTCCTAACAATAAGCAAATAACACATTAGAAGCTTTGCTATGAAAACATTTAGTGCTGGCTTTGCTGTGGAGCACTACAGGAGCCGTGACTTATGTTCCGTGAGGGAGGAGGCACGGTGGAGAAGAAGGCGCTGTACGTTCAGTGCAAGGGTCTCTTTCTTCTGCAAAGGTAGTGCCTATAGCTGCCGGGTCCGTAGGCTGTGTTCGTGCATGCTTTATTGGATTTTTTTACACGTAGCTAGAACACCTGAGTCCAATTCTGCCAGCCATGGCTGAAAATCTGGGGGGTTTCGACCAGGTAATTGAGTTCTCGCCTGTCTCCGGCTCGCCGGCGAGTGGGTGGTGTGGCGTAGCCGTGCCCGGGCCTCGGCGAGCGCTGGGAGCAGATGTTGGCTGCGGGCTGGGGAGCCGGGCTGGCAGCGAGGAGCGGCACTGCCGGCAGCCGCACATGAAGGGAGCTGGGGAGAACCATTTGCCTGCCTGCACTCGGTGCAACAGAGCAGGCTCAGGGCTCGCTCTCTCTTTCCCCCTTTTTTGTTGTAATTTAGTATTCTTGTCTCACCCCACAGGGGTTCCTCAGCCGTCGGCTTAAAGGCTCCATCAAAAGGACAAAGAGCCAACCGAAGCTTGATAGGAACAGCAGCTTCCGGCACATTTTACCTGGCTTCAGGAGTGTGGACAATGAAAGGTAAGGGGACCTTTCTCGGAGGGTGGGGAGGAGGGGGTGTGAGGCAGAACGAGGACATTGATTTTTCCATGTTTTGTGACTGTCTTCCTTATTCAGAGCAAGGGTGTACTTCTTCTGTGATAGAAGTAGACTTGCTTAATTGCAGGAGGGGTCATTTTAATTTGTTGGCGAGTATACAGTGCAAGCCCTCCCTTTGTAGGTTAACTAACATGTACAGAGAAGCCTGACTGCTCTGCTTTCTTTTCCCCAATAAATCCTAAGTTGATGCACCAGTGTATAAATAGCACGTAGATGCAGCCTCCAAAGCCGACTGATGCGGGCGCGGGAGGGAGGGGAGGGATGCTCACACGCTGAGCATTACCGGGTTACACGTTGTATGAACAATAACATAGAACAATAACAACCTTCATCTCCCCAAATCCCTGTCTCCCCCGCCACACACACACACATCTTCAGCGTAGCCGCTGACTGCCGGCGTTACACTGAGACGGGTTCTCGGCGTGTGGCCGAAGCTGCTGCTTCCGTCTGAGCCATGACAGGGTCTCTCGGTCCGGGAGGGATGCGTTGCAGGGAACACGCAGATGGATCGCAGGAAGCCTTTGACATGGGGTGGCCAGCATGGGAACAAATTGCAAGCAAAGTAAAGGGGAAATGAGACCTTGGTTTTATTCTTCAGCTCAGTTAGTGAAGTAGTTCTTTAGTGGATTTGTATGTATTTATGTCCATGTAGATTTATGTCAGTGTGTGCATGCGACAGACATACAATCTAGGTAAATTTGTGTGTAAATTCACATGCAGATCGAGGTCATGCTTGGGTAAGACAGACTCCATTACCAACCACAGAATTGAACTGTTGGTTTGCCTCCAAAAGGAAGATCTTTCAGCCTTACGTGAATCATTTTGGGGAATGACACAGAAGTATTGAAGTGCCAAGAAAATTCTATGTCTGAAAAATACGCCAAATTGGACCTACACTGATGTGACCAGTTTGTAACAGTGGCGTTTTAAAATATCAAGACAGTACTTTCAAATCCATTGAGTACATGCTTCACTTTTAAACTCAATGGCAACTTTTACTTTGTTTTAGCTATACTTACCCATTGGAGGGGCTGTGAATTTCAGAAGCCCACAAACAAAAATTGCCAATCTGGATTTTTCCTTGCCTGACCCATTACAGCCTCCTGAGTTTTTTCCTTCTGGATTCTGGGAGTAAAAGGATTGTGCTGCTCAGTGCAGAGTAAGATTTCAGAGGTTACTATCTGGGAAGAGAACTGATTTGATTCCTGTGCTGCAGTTTTCACAAATGCTCGAAGTAGGGCACTGTGTTCCATATGGAAGGCGAGCGAGTGTGCCCGGGCAGCCGGGAATCTGCCTACAGCGCTGCTGCTTCCCTCAAAGAACGGGCAAATTAGACGATGTTTGCTTTCTACCTAGATGAGTTTGGTTTCTTTCAGTGCATTGCAGTGTAGGACATGGGAATGAACTGTTTTGGCCAGCCCTGCAGCCAAAGTCATTTTTCCAAATTAAGCCTTGCAATGTCCCTGCCCTCCCAGCACAAGAGCTGGGCAGCGTCCTTTCAGACAGAGCCAGATTTGCTGCAACTTTTCTTTGAAGAGATGCAGTGCATGGCTGCAGTGCATTCTCAGTGTAGAGCTTAAAGGGTGGGTGAGAGGAGAGGCAGCGTTTGCCAGCCTTGAATAAAACCCAAGGATTTGCTTAGAAGAGTATTTAGGAACAAAATGAAAGGCTTCCATTAGGCAGGTATCACTTGTAACTAGACTTCATCAGTGATACAAAGACATGCCCTGATCTGGAGGACACTGTCTGACGCTAGGTAGCTTTGACAGCAGGCTGTCCGTCCCTCAGCTTGCATGGTAGTGTCAGGTCTGTAGGGTACGCAGGGGTCCCTCGGCAGAAGAGCTTGGCCTGAGGTACTGCTGCTCTCGGAGAGGTGAAAGGAAAGCAGCAGCTGGGCTCCTCAGTCATGTATCAAGGTTTTGGTTATAGAATATAATTTTATCTTCCTGAACATTCCCATCCACGCCTGCTAAAATGCACAATGCACTCTCTGCTGTACATGAAAGGGCTGGAGTCTTTTAGATTGCTCTTGTTCATTTTCTGCTGTGCTTGCTTGTCTTTCTTGAAATCCAAGAACTGTTTCAAAGGAGCATCTGGTATTGGAATATTTGCCTCTGAAATGTTTGATCCCTGACTCCATCTTGTATCCAAGCTGATTGTTCGCGAACTGCTCCTTCGCTCATGGAAGGCACCGTTAGAACAGCGTTCCGTTCTGGAGCTTTGTAGAATTTTTGTGGGAGATGCCGTGGCAAAAAAGCATAGTGGGGTCAAGGTTGAAATATGGAGCTGTAGTAGAGCAGAAATGATTTTGTTGCTTGGCTTCTGTGTATCTAAATTGGTACTGTGTCATGCCTCTTCGTTTCTTTATTTCTCCTTTTCGTGCATGTCCCATTTATCCTGCTATGTCCAGCAGATGTGTATGAATATATGAAATGTGCACAAACATGTACAGAGACCTAACTAGGGGGACGTGGCGAGTGTGTAGAGCAGAGAAGAGAATATCAGCAAACATATCTGTGCTCTTTATACTGTGTTTGATTATTGCATGCATTTAAATGCACCATGTAAATTTAAAATGGAAAATTATTACCTCCTACAATAGTGAGAAATTTGTACAGTGTGAGTTTTATAACAAAGGAAACAAGGATCATTAAACACTGGAACAGTCACAGAACGTCTCACTGGCATCAGTTCAGAATCGCCTTGTTAATTCTGTGTCGGCAGAGCCCGCTTTTCCTACCTTGCGTTGGCACAAAGGGAGCAGCCAGGTTCCCGGCGCGGTTGCTGCGTCCTGGGGAGGGGCTGGCAGCCCTGAAACGTGTCCGGGGGGTTTCTCTGTCGAGTCGACGTGCCGTCGGCCAGGGTCCCGTGCCCATGGCCTGGCGGCTGTTTGCAGTTCTGCCGTGGCGTGTGTGTGTGTGTTCGGAGCAACTGTGCAAACTCAGGAGAGTTCTGGTTTAGTAAAACCTTGGCCAACCGTTTTTTTTCTCTATAGAGAACATCTGAGGAATTGCTCAAAGTGGTGTGTTAGAAAAATACACTGATTATAGTCAAGCAGAGCTTATCTTTGTAGAAATAACATGGTCGTGTCTCGTGCTATTGGATTTTACGGTGACTGAGAAGAGACCTTTTGTTGGAAAAAAAGTGGAATAAGGGGTTTGCACTAACTTCAGTACATTGCTGTGGGGTTCACATTGATGTAGTTGGCCGAATTTTCCAGTCTTTTGCATACTGATTTTTTTCTAGGTGTCCTGTTACAGTAACAGTAATAAAATGAGTGATTGTGAATAAGAAGCAACATCAGACCAAGTGCAACTAGTATTCGTTACGAGAGGTGCATTAATCTGCTGCAATCGGTTTATATAAATGTGAGATCTGGATTGTGGAACGAGTGCTCCGTTCAGTGTGTTGGCTGGTCAGATTGCTCGTTAGAGCTAAAAAGGGTTCCATTAAAGTGGCTTTTTGCTAACAACGTCTCCTGCATCCTGATTTATTACAGCAGCTAACAAAGTTTTTATCATGGAGCACTGAATGTTTGTCTTTGTAGCGGCCTCTCAGGAATCAACCGCAAATCAAGCATTTGGCAGATGGATTTTTCTTAATTGGACCCACATTTCTCCTACAGAATTTGTGATGGAGAAAGTTTCTGGGTTGGGCTTTGGGCAGAGGGAGCAGAGCCAGAGGACTGACAGCAGGTTGTTCTGCTGCAGCTCTTCATGGGAGCTGTTGGTGCCTTTCTGGTTGTTTGCCTGTTGTGGTGACCTTTTCAGTCACTGTGGTCACTTCATTACAGTAATCGTTTAAAAATAGTTTCTGACAGTGTGTCAGGAATTTAGAAAGCAGGTTTATATGAGTATTGGGGTTTTTTTTTTAACTCTGAGTGCATGAACTTGGTGTCATCTCCTCTGAAATGGCAAAGGCTGCCATGACTCTGCCCCAGCAGGGAGAGGGCAGGGACGCAGTGCCGCTGCGTGGGACAAACACCTTCAGACTGTCCTGAGCTGGTGGAGCATGGGTGCTCTGTGCAGCTCCGCAGTCTGGTGGAATCCCCGAGCTGACCGTTCCTAGGGACGCTTTTCCTCAGTGCACCTAGGATTCAGTGAAAGCTAAGGGACTCTCATTTACTAACATTTGTGATTATTTTGCAAGGCTTTTTTCATAATTCCAGAAGACAACATTCTATTTAAGCTTTTTGTTGGCACTGGCGTTGGTCTGAGCATATGGCTGATTGTTAAATGAGCCGCAGCACTGGAAGGGGGACAGCCGTGCATTAGGAACAGCAACGCCTTGCACGACTGCTGCTGCCTCTTTAAGCTACTTTTTTTTTGTAATCCCAGCAAAAAAATTTTTGTTTATATCCCACAGAGGCAAGAGGAAGGGTACAAGTCATGTACTGCAGAGCATTTAATTCCTAATCTAGTGCGAATGCAGTCTTGCTCTATGGGTTTTCAAACAGTCAGAAAGCTTATTTTGATGCAATAAGAGAGCATCAACAACTTATGAACTTCTGTACTCTTACAGTAAACTTCGTTTGTGAGTTCTTTTTAGATCTAATTATCATTTGTTTATTCCCAACAAACTGGATACGCCAAATATTTTCAGGCGTGATGGAACTGGTGAAGTTTGACGAGGACATGGTGAGTGCAGCATTCCAAAGGCTGAAGAAGTCTCCGCTTCCTTCAGGAAGAGGAGGGACTCATCCGGCAGCACTGGGACGCGGGCAGACCCCAGGACGCGCGAAGGGCTTTCAGATCTGGGCGAACAAGTGCTGGAGAGCTTGTGTTCTCCTCTGCCTCCTTACTGAAACGGCGTTAGCCAGTGAAGCTGTCTAAGTAGGAAGACTCACAATAGTAGGTGCACAGTGAAGGGTGACGGTAACGGCATGTGCAGTGCAGCGCAGGGGCCTCAGGTTTTCATACAAT